ACTCAGGAGGCTGAGATATGAGGATCTCGGTTCAAAGCCAACCAAGGCAAGAAAGGCAGTGAGACTCTTATCACCAATACACCCCCAGGAAGGTGTGCTGTGTCTCAAGTGGTAGAGCGCTAGCCTTGAGCTGAAGAGCTGAGGGACAGCGCCCAGGCCCAGAGTTCAGGCCCCACGACCAGACAGCCCCCCCCCAAAAAAGAAACAAAAATTTACATCTTATTTGCATACATCAACAGTGAATATCCATTGGCACAGCATGAGGCAAGAACTGATAAATAATTTGTGCCAATAATCACATGTGCAAATATATAAAATCATACCACAGACACTAAGCCCATGAGCTTACCAAACATAACAGATCTTTTGTTTGGTGCAATTCCATCATGTAAACTATAAAAGAGTAATACCTAGTACAGGGACGCACACACTGACCCAGTATCAGACCATCCAGCTTATGTGTCAAGGATTTACAAGTGCCTAAGTCCCAACTCTATCCTGGAAGTTTCAGCTCACGTCAATCCTCAGCTTGATTTCACCCACTCAGTTATTCTTCAGGATGAAGTGTGCCTGAAAATCATCTTTAGACCCAAACTCAAGTCTTCTTGAAATAAGTTGTGTACCTTGAACCAGAATGTCACTGGAAACAACTCTGATTTTTGACACCACCTGGCCTCAACAGCTCAGTGACAGCTCTGTTACTGGGCAGTATCTTATCTGGCCATAAGCTCTTGCCCTTAGGCAAGGCCTCTTAAAACCCTGTGCCCACCAGTTTAACCCTTTCCTAGCCTACATTGCTCGTTACTTCAATTAATTGGAAGTGTAAGGTATGGTCGGAGAATTAATATTAATAATTCAGGGTAGAATAAAATAGACTACATTGTTAGTGCCCTACGCTCTTAAGTGTTTTGTTAATTAACGTGAAGCAAATGAACATATATTTCTAATTCATGGCTACTTAATAAAATTTGATATTATATATGACATTGCTCACAACACAGGGTTTCTTCACCACAATTCCAATTCTTCAGCCCCTCTGTGGCTGTCTTAGCAGTGTGCTTTGCAAATGAGGAAAACACACCATCATTTTTGGATACTGTGAGGCTTCTATTGAAGGGTAATTCCATTTTAGTGGTACCCAGTCCAGGAATTAGACTGTCCTTATCAATTGCCTACATGGATAATACTTTCAATGGGGGAAAACATAATGCAAGTTCCTATCTTAGTTCGATGTGACCGCTTGCTCACCTCTAGCAGAATCCTGACACACAGGCAGATGCTTCCCAAGAGAGATGAAAGGCTGACAGAAATTCACAGGTGTGGGCTGGGCCCACCTTCCTCTCACCAGTGATTACTAAAAATAACCACTGGCCCTGCTGACCCAGGATGGACACTGCCCTAAAATACTTACTCATTTCACAAAAAGGAGACTCACTATGTGAAAAGTGAAAGTAAGTTCATATTTTCCTGAAGTTTTAATAAGAACAAGAGCAGAGATATACAGAGGACAAATTCTAAGTGGGCTAATGTGAAATACAAGATAGTCCCACATGATAGGCCACTGTAATAGTGTTTCAAATGGGATGTCATGCCTTCCTCTACCATTAATGACTCATTAGGGTTCCAGAACATGATATGGCAAGTGGGGAGAGGGTGAGGGAAGCAGGGTCTTCCTTCAAAATCGAAGGTGTCTACAGGAAAGAGACAATTAGCTCAATACCTGCTCCCAGGACACCTGCTCAGACCTCTGGGCTTAACCCTGAGGCTTCTTTACCACTCCGACTATTTCATGGAGAGTTAAAGCCTTTGCTGTAGCTCTTTTGTCTTAGGAAACAATTTCAGTTATTCGCATGCAACATGAATGGATGTACCCTGTTTTAGACTGGTCTAAGTGCTGGCTGACTGACTTCTCTGTGCCTCCAGCAATTTTCCAGAGCACAAGCTGTGGAGAAAGACCTGCTGTCCCAAAGACTATATACAGCCAAAAAGCTATCTGTTCAACTCATCCTACAGGAACTAAAGCAAGTCCAGCCTGTTCTCATCACAGGAACTCTAGGAAAATCACAATAAAGGATTTCAAACATATTCTCAGAGTATATATTAAATGATACTAATATGTTACCTCTCTACCATCACCAGCTTTTTAATTATGGACTTTTTAAATCAGTTTTAGGGCCTGAACTCTTGGCGGGGGCGATATCCAACAACACTTCAGACCTGGAGCCACAGAACCTCTTCTGGCTTTTTCTGCTTATGTAGTGCTCAGGAATTATCAGGTCATCTTGCATGCAAGGCAAGTACTCTACCACTGAACCACCTTCCCAACCCTATTAGATAATTCTCAATCTCCCTAATGTGTCATTTGAATATATGAATAAGCCCCCAAATAGAAGATAAACTTTGCATAGTCATTTAATAGACATGTTATAATATGTCAAACATGAGTTGTTTACATTAAATATATTAGAAATAAGTGGAACTTCTACTTTTAAATTTTTCTTCCTATTGTTTATAGCCTCTACAGTACCCAGTCCTCAAAGCAAGGGACCCAGACTGTTAAATTTCTTTCTCTGCAAGTCAGAAACAGAAGACACAAGCCTTGAGTCTCTTTAAACTAACTTCAGTCTTTACTCGTTTACTATAATAATTTGGAAGCCATTAGGAAATGGAAATGTTAGAAAAGAAATTATTATTTTGAAAATATAACTTTAGTAGGTATTGGGTGTCATCAAATGCATTGTAGTCAAACCCTGACAACTAAGGAATTCAAATGTGTTTGTACATCTACTTAGTAGGAGGAAAGAAAGAAAACAAGAAAGAAGGAAAGAAAAGAAAGAGTAACAGGACTTGTGAGTTCATAATGCATTCAATTGTTTACTCAACTAAACTGTTATTTGCTCAATAGGAAAAGCAATGTATTTAGTAAGCTAGATTGGCATGAATAGATTAATACATCTTCTGAGAGTGATCCTGTAGCTCCCTTCACATGGTTAGCGTGGACAGGAATCCTTATTTTCAATGATACATTTCTGGCTTCCTCCCACTGAGGTACTGGGACTCAGGCATCACCCTATCACAAGCCACGGCTCCTACACATCACAGAGGCATCATGTGCTACCTTGGTTACTTTACCCAGCTGTTCTGAAACTGCCTCATGGCTTTTCTTTGTTTATTTTAGTTTTGGTGATATTTTTCTTATGATCAGCTCACTTGACCAGTCACATGCTATTTTAAAACAAAATACTTTAAAATTAAAAACGATGAAATAATTGGAAATAATCTATGACCACCAATATTTCTTTTCTGACTGAGTTTTCCTCATCAGCATTTATTGTCATTCAATACAGGGAAAAGATACCAAAACAAAATAAACACAAAGTTTTAGCAAGAAGAAGCTAACAAATGATAACTTGATGGGTCCTTTTCTTAAATTTCAGTATAACTAGTTTTGCAGCTATATGGAAAATAGCTAAGAATATAAAATCTTTGGAAGACACCAGAGTGGATTGACAATAGCAGACTCACCATCTGTCCTATGTAGACTAGCAAATCCAGGGCCGTGGCTGCTGGACAGCTCTGAGCTGCTGCTGAAGGATACCAAGCGCAAGGCAGAGGACAGTGGAGCATCGCTCTTGTCTGTACAACAACAACAAAAGACATCATCATCCCTCACAGGCTAGAGACACACTGAGAAAAATTTTCCAACTCTCTACTTTCTCACCTCCCTTCTTTTTTAATTAAGAGGTAGAAAACCGCTTGAATTTGTAGCAAACATCAGTTTTCACTGAGATATGCTAGTAACTGCTAACTACAGGCTCTCATTGATTATTAAAACCTGATGTGTAGCATTTGTTCTTTCTCATGGTGGAAGTATTTCAATTTGACCAGAATTGAACCTGTCCACAGGATAGGTTGGAAAGAGATGCACAGTTTCACATATCACATGGCATTTTCTCCATGCACATACATATGTAAATAGCCATTGTGCTTAAAACATAGGTGTCATGAAATCAATAACTAGTGGAGAGGTTTGAGAATTTACTTTCATTTTGCTTAACTGGAAGTTTATATAATTTTATTTTGAAAAACGACTGGTTTGTAAAAGTAATGATTGGCTCTGTATTGAAAGTTTCTAGACTTCCCTAAAACTATCTAAGGATTCATTAGAAGCCCAGTCCAGAGCCAAAGAAAATTTTTCATGCATTTCAAACAGCCCTACATGGCTCAGAGGTTGGAAACAAGTGACACAGGTTTGCCAATGACCTCTAAAGAGTGAGAAAATCCTTCGAGGCACGGTTCACATAACGAACAAAATTATTTACACTATTTACACCAGAAAGGGGTCCTGTGACTACGTTGTCCTGGGCTAGATACCCAGAACCAAGAGCAGCCTCGACCATGAAGCCTCCAAGTCTCCAGTAGGCAGCCCCGATCTTATTAGTTGGTCTGCAAACCACAAATTAGTCGGCTGTTCTGCAAACCTCCAACCCCAGACCTCCAAAGCTGCAAAGCTGCAAAGCTCCGAAGGGGAAGGCTTTTCCTTTTCTTCCCTTCCTCCTTCTCTGCAGCCTCTCTGCTCTCCACAGGCCTGCCCCGCCTGCGCAGGAGGCGCCTCTCCACAGGCCGCTCCAGAGAAAGGTCCCAGACGGCCCCTCGAGGAGGCCCCGAATGACCTCTGGAGGCCGTCCCGGATGGCTGTGGAGGCTGGCCTGCCTCCTCAGGCCTGCCCTGCGCTACTCGGCAGGCTGTCCCTGCTGTCGCCTCTCTTCACTCAGTGTCTCCCCTCTCCCTTGTTCTACTTCTTCCTTGCTCTCTCTCCCCTACCCTCCTCAGGACTCTCCTCAGGACTCTCCTCAGGACTCTCCTCAGGATTCTCCTCAGGACTCTTGGTCTCTCCCCTACTCTCCCCTTCTCCGTCTTCCCTCAGGACTCCTAACAGGCAGCCTATGTATAGGCTGTGCCCCTCCCCTTTCGGCGGCTTGCCCCGCCCCTTCGGCGGCATGGCACGCCCCTCCTGTGGCCCAACACGCGGGGCGTGGCCAGCTTCTCCATGTCCCGCCTCCTCCGGTGGCCGGCTGTGCAGCAGTGAGGCTCACCTCTTGATTCCCGCCCCCTTCAGCCGCCCGGGCCACGGAGCCATGCAGATTATCGGGGCCCCACTTATTATCCGGGCCACGCTGGTTATTGCAACATCATTTCCATTTTCACTCACCAGGGCCTCAGGCTCAGCCTTTCCTCCCGTCATGGGTGCGCAGGGCACACAGGTCAGCACCAGCTGTGTCTGTTACCAGGGTAACCACAGTCTCCACTGTGGCTGACACACTGTTGGCTCTTCTCATCCATTCAAAATAGCTCACTTCACACACTCAGCGTGCAATTTGTTATGTGATGCGCTGATTGATATCTATGGATGCCTGTCACACAACAGTTTCTACGCTCAACAGCTTCAGTCTCAGGGCTATTCTTTGCAGCCCTCTCTACATGTGTCCGGCTTTTACGAGTATTACTCTGAGACCATGTTCACAGGACCGGTAAACTTCTAACATGCTCCTGGCACAAGGAAGTGTAAAGAAAACCCAATTGTGGGCTGGGAAGGTGGCTCAGTGGTAGAGTGCTTGCCTTGCATGCATGAGGTCCTGGGTTCGATTCCTCAGCACCACATAAGCAAAAAGAAAAATGCCGGAAATGGCGCTGTGGCTCAAGTGGTAGAGTGCTAGTCTTGAGCTGAAAAGCTGAGGGACAGCGCCCAGGCCCAGAGTTCATGCCTCAAGACCGGACCCAAAAAAATTAACAAAAGAAAAAAGAAAACCCAATTGTTGAAGTATTACTGTGGAAAATGGAAATTTCAGAACATTCTGGAAGGGAGAGGTTTTCTGCAGGCATAACAGTGGAAGGAACTCAGGTGCCATGATGTCTTCAGCAGACCAGTCTACCCCATTCCTTTTGTGTACAAAGGAATCCCAGGAAGGGAATCAACCTCTCCAAACACATGGCATTGGCTGAGGCCGAGTGGGGATTCATTTCCTTCCCTGTTTAACTGAGCCACCTGCTCCATTTCCCCCCTACACCTTTCTTTTTCATGGCCTCTGGAAACAGCAGTCCAGCCCCCTCTCTGTCCCCTCTGCTCACGTAGTAATAATCTCGTCATTGCTGATTCCAGAACCAGACTACAGAAAGCTCTGGGCTAGGCACCAGGTGTCTGACCTTAGAATGCTTCTCACTTTCCCAAAGCCTGGATTTTCTCATCCACACAAGTTACTGAGTATCTCACACGGCTCACAAGGCTTGCTTTGCCTATTTCATGATGGTGAAACAACTCACCACACATTCAGCCCCCTGACATTTTCTGTGAGGACATTGTCCCCATGTAGGGAACGCTTATGATTTTGTCCTGTCTTCATATTCATTTTTAACTGTAATTGAACTACTCCTAACAGAGGCTGGGCCTGCTCACTGTGACATCCTTTCCAAAGGGGTCCAGATGGCAGCAAGAGCAAAACAGACAGATCTCGCTCCACTTTCCTCCAACTCCTTTTACAGAAACCACTCAGACATTTGTACTCACAATAAACCTGACTACATTCATTTCCTTCTGAACTACCACATCCATGCTTCACACTCCAGGATAGAGCAACCCTGGGGCCCTATTTGGATATCACTTTGGGCACAATAAAAGCACAAAGATGTAGTGCCCCTCTCTTTCTCTGCCTGTAGCCTCTGACCTCCATGTTTTCTCTCTCCCTGACTGTGCCCTGAGATAAATACCCTTTGTTTGTGATTCCTGATCTTCCTTTCCTTTATAGCTTCATTCACCCCTCTCCTCTGTGACCTGCCTACCTTCTCAGCTGTGCTCCCGACCTCCCTGTCCACGCTATGCCCTAGCCTTTCCTGTCCTTTCTCTCTGCTGGGCTCTGACTTCCTTGACTGCGATGAGCCCTCCACTCTGAGTCCTGTCTACTGTGCCTCACGACCTCCCTCTCCTCTCTTTTCTGTCACCTCCTGACCTTCCTGATGTCTTTTGCCTATATCCCCTGAACTGTATCTTCTGCTGGCTCTGCCCCCAGCCTCTTTGTCCTCTGTTAGTGCTCCTTGTTCACTCTGTCCTCTCTCTATCATGGCCCCTGCCTGTGTGCTCTCTGCTGTGGTTTTGATCTCCCTTTCCTTCTCTGCTGTGCCCTGTCACCTTCACTGTTATCTGATATAACCTCTGACTCTCCTCACATCTGCTTTCTATGCCCTCTAACTTCATATCCTCTCTCACTTCTCCATATTCTCCCCAACTATGATCCTCAACCTCCATGTCTTTGCTTTCTATCTGTTCACCTTGTCTTTCTTGTCTTGTCTCTCTGCTATGACACCTGGACCAATCAGCCCCCTCTCCTCCACTTTTGTTCAGGACCTCTGTGTTTAACCTATAGGCATATCTCACTCCACAGAATACAAACTTTACTAAACCTCTAGAATGTTCTTCTCTGGTTCTGTTATTGAGTCTGGTCTGTAATCTGAGCCCTGATGTTGAGGCCACAAGCTGAGTTCATACAAACTCTAAGGAAGAGCAGATAACATCCATGGTATGAAACCACATTTCTATTTTCCTAACACAAAGTATGCAAAGCTTAGTGCAGAAAAAGAAATAATACCTATGCTGACACAATCTTCCCTTGAGAGGAACAATGTGATCAAGTTTTAATGAATTATCACTTATTTTACACTCTAAATAAGAGGCTTTAGAATCAACTCACATAATTGACTGCTAGTCACTTAGGAAAATGGAAGGGTTCACAAGGTGACACTTTCCATAAGTCCTGACAGGAACACTGCTAATTACATACAGCACTGCCTCTAGCTGGCTGACATGCACACCACTGCAGGCTCGGGAGCCTCTGACATTCTCTTCAAAAGTTGATACGAAATTCGGTCCCTCTGCTCATATCTGTAACTCTGACTACTCAGGAAGCTGAAGACTGAAGAGCCCAGTTCAAACTCAGCCTAGGAAGGAAAGTTCCTGAGACTTTTATCTCCAATCAACCACCAGAAAGCTACAAGTGTATGTGTGACTCAAGTGCTAAAGCAATAGCCTTGAGTAGAAAAACTAGGGGGTAAGTGACAGTAGCCAGGCCCTGAGTTCAACTTGCAGTACCAGAACACACACAAAAAAGACCTGTTTTTGTTTTCTTTCTCTTGCTTCATCAGAAAAAATCTCTATACGAAAAACTGATGATGTGCCTTATTGATAAATAATTTCTTTTTCAATGGACGAATTCTGAAAACCTTCAGAAGAAAAGAACCATTTCTAGTTATTTCTTTTTAACAAGTGAACTGTCAAAACCAATTGGAGAACCATCACCTTAGGGGAGAAACAAGCTAGGTAGAAATCATAAGCTTGTAATCACACATGAAACTAGAGATTGCTACAACTAGGATTGAGCAATTTACTTCTCTCCATAAAACATAGTGCAAAGTGTGTCCTTATGAAAAAAATGCCAGTTTCCCAATTCACTCACTCCCTCTGAGGTTTAAATGTACTCAGGACACATTTCTGAGAAGCATAACAATTCTAAAGGAAAAGAGAAGCTCTTCATTCAGCAAAAAAACAGGTTGCAATCAAGTGAGGTGACTCTCAAATCACTGCCAATGCAGCTTAAATAAAGCAGGTCATTTCCATAAGGAACCAGATTTAATCTTTATTTCCTCAACTTGCATTATACTGCTTGACCCACAGTTGACATTTGATGAGTATTTCCTGAACTACACCGACCACTGATCTAAGAACTTCTGTACAACTTTCTAAAACTCTCTGTTATCTACCCTATATATCACTCTGAACACATATTGACCATAAATATGCGTCTTTAATGGGCTGAAATAACCCTAAAAGGAGAGCTGTGCCGTCCTCATTTGCCAGGCCAGATGGGAGGTAGAGGAGTGACAGTACCAGTCAAGACAGAAGAGTCTAGGAACAAGGCTTACCTCTGCAGCCAGGCAGGCTCCCACAGCATTCACATCAGGACACATTCCCATCCCAGCTACATTCAACAACCCACCACACCCCACTTTTTGACAGGACCCATAACTTCTGCATAGTCTGTCAAGATTGGGTCCTTTTGTGAAATAAAATACAGAGAATAGGCAAAGCAGCAGTGTCTGCTTTTAAACACAGACTTGAAGGAGACTTTGAGAGCCCACTGCCCCAAAGCACTGAGTCCTGTGGCTGCACTTGCCTAGGCCTCCCAGGTCCTCTGGGTAGGACTATCAGACCCTGTCATTAATCAGAGAACCCTGTCAGGTAATTTCAAAAGCAATATAAAACATCTAGGGTATGTTACAAACATACAGTCTCTTCTCCATGTACACATATACTTCCATTCATGAAATTGTGATTTGCAAAATGTAATCTGCTTTGGGCTCTACCAATCCAGAATATTAAAGATACACTGGGCGGGTATATGTACAGTCAAGGGAGAAGGCTGTGTATAGAGGGAGGAAATATATGTATTCACATCAGAAGCACAGGGCTCTATCTGTGCAATGGATGGACTTCTAGGAATCACTTGTAGGGGTCACTCAATGATGTCAGCAGGGCCAGACTTAACCTGCAGTTTTCTTAGGACGTCTCCTGTCTGCAAGAGTTTCTGGGACAGTACCACACAGCCCGATTCCACATCAGTGACAGTGACCTCACAGTTTCAAAACAGAAGTCATGTTATGTTAAACCCAAACTTTCCCAATTCTGTAGTTTCTATGAAATTCTCAGATTCTATTGTGAAATGGTTTAAATGGCCACAGAACAATATATTATTCAATTTCTTTAATTCAGAGGATTATTTCCATTCTATAGAATCTGGAAAGCCACTTCCTTTCCTGTTGCTTCAAAATTCCATTGAAATTCTGGTCTAGACAATGAACTATGTGGATCCCAAGAAAACTATTGTTATTTTCTAATATTTTAGTGTGGACAAAGATTATTACCAGTAAGCATTTGGATGTGTTTTGCAAATATTTTCTCCTTGCAGGGTATTTTAAAAAATAATAAAAAACATGAGTAGAAATGGCAGACATGTGGTATGGGTCTTAGTTTCTCTTTGGAGTGCCGTGAACCAGAACACAAGGTAGAGATCTCATGAACAGAGAACTTGGGATCTGGTTTGTGAAACACCCCCTCCTTACCAGGGCCAAGCAGTGAGCTGTGCAAGAATCTTCCTCAGGTGAGAAGTACGCTCAGACATCTGGGGTGGAAGCATAGCACATCTTGGGGGACAGGAGACACCCACTAGCCAGGACATGTGGCAGTTGCAGGTTCTGTAAAGTGTTGTACCCTCTCCCTCACAGATGCCTGAGCAGCCACTTCTGACCTGCACAGTGGCTGCAAAGAGCCAAAACCGCACATGAGAACACAAAGGAAGATATCAAGCATTTCAGGAAGGCACATTCCCAGGGCAAGAGCCAGAGTTAAGAAGGGTTCAACAAGCTAGAAAGAAGCCTGGGGAAGAAATGAAGAAAGGAGAAAACTCAAGGGCTGGAATTTCCAGAA